GTACCTTGGATTTGAGCATTTGAAGAACCTTAGGTACTGTTTAATTCACACCATGGAGAAGTAGCAGGGAGAAGGGAGGAAGCTTCTTGAAATGTAAAATATTTTTCAAGTGTGCCTTTTAGATCATATGTGTATTAATTAAGTATTATGTCTTGACAAGCATGTATAGTCTACGCAATTGGATTAAGTATTTATCTTGAAAATTTTGATAGAAAGAATGCTTGTAGGTGCTCATGATTAGTATCACATTCTTTGTGCCATATGGCATTTTGTACATAAAGAGAAAAGTGAATGTAGCTTAGCTTATGGACTCTCTGAAGCTTTGGCATAGTTGTTGTAAACTTGATCTCTATTCAGTTTTTCAATTTCTGTCCAGAATTTGAAATATTTGCCTTCTCCTAGGGCCATCCAATGCCAAGAGGTACTGATTGATTCAAAGTTCCTCACATTCCAATATCCAAGTAGACCAAGTGCATCCAATTCTAAGAAGATTGAACATCTCAGGTATATTTTATTAAACCTCAGCTTCTGTAAAAACTTCCCATCCATCGCTAAGTTTATCCTCACCATCACCATATTAGTAAGCACATTTATCTTTTTCTCAATTCAGACTTCAAAGCAACACCTGAAATCAAATTTGTCAATTTATATGGTAGTCCCTGGATGTTCCACTTTTTTGCAGGGCAATACATGAGTAATACTTCTAGGTAATCTTTTTTTCTGTTTTCTGAGAATGTTGAATTCATGTTTCATAAAAGATGTCAACAATTGACCATACAACAACTTTTATTCCGGTCCCTTTTTCTAGACCAGCTTATGTGAGAATGATCCAATTATCCAAACATGGATCTATTGATTTCACATACTTAGAGATGAGTACAGGTTAGAACTATTTTAAATTACCAGCACATGAAATCTATTGCATTCTTCATTTGATGGTGTTTTTAGTTATCATACTCTCTCTCATCCTATCTCCATTTTATCAATTTTGCAGAACTTAGCCTTAAACACTCAGTGTCACTCTGTAAATTGAAGCAGAAGAAGGAATTATGTCATACATGACTTTTAAGGTTAGATTCTTAAGAACTCACCATTTTCTCAAAACTTAGCCATCAATTGTCACTCCATAAATATTTGCAACTCATGTCACTTTTCTTTAATATATGTAATTTTTTTTTTTATCAGTCATGTCTGTTATTTGGAATCTTTGATTTGAAGTTAATGAAGAATATTAATAGTTTACATTAGTTTTCAGAATTTAGCATTTCATCATTTACATTGCAAAATATGTTCTTATAAGACAATTAATACCATTGAGCATTAGGTCTCCTAATTAACTGCTTCTACTTTCATACTTGGGGGGACTATCTATCATCAATTTTCTGTTCTTAAATATCTTTCCTTATCTTATATTTTCCACTGTAACTTTTCATGATCAGTACATATAGTACTTTTTTTTCCGTTAATATATTTCTTTTTTCATGTGCAGGCATGGAACCTTAAGTGGTAAGAGATTATATTCTTTTCATGAGGAAGTCACTTGACAAAGCAAAAATGTATCAAGTATGCCTTCTAGATCATTTAAAAGTCTTATTTAAGCATTAGTGCTTTACATTTGAGCATATATAGTCTTTCCAACTGAGTACTATCATACATGTTATTTGTTTGAGAATTAATTTTGTGTATTGTAGTTGTTCACTGTTCAGTATCTCATTCATTAAGCCACAAGGCCTTTTAGAAGTAAGTTAAGGAGAAAAGCAGATGCAAAGTAGCTTATGGACTTTGATGAAGGTCTGTTAGTGTAGAAGTAATTCTCAAATTAAAATTCATCTAAAATGAATATGCTTTTGTTATTTGCTCCACTTATGACTTTTACAGTTTATCATAAAGTTCATTGTTGTTTGTTTGTTATCTTCTTCGCTGATTATTTGATATTAATTTCTGTTTCTTCAGCTCTAGCTGCAGTTGTGCAAACTTCAGTTGTCAGTAGACGGTCCCTCCCTTGAGTATCACAGCCTCATTTCCAATTAGCGTAAACCACATTCTTTCAGAGAGATAGTTAAAGGTATGTCACTGCAAAACCTCAAGAAATGCTTTTGTTGTGGACTATGTAGTTTGGCTTTGAGAATCATAAATAAACAATCAGTCTGATTAGTACTTTCTTGCTTTCATATATCATCTACTTAGGATGAGCAATTTTGTGCTAGAGGCTCAAGATTTTGTTCTGGATGGCAACATCTTCAATAGGAGGTAGGTGAAGTGCTCTAAATGATAGCTTTGTTTACAAATTAGTTTATTTTATCAGCTCAATAGAAAAGTTCAATCATTTGAACGCAGTTTTACCATTCTTCTTGCAGGATTATCAACTCTGATACATCAAGGAGCTAACTAGACTTTGTTTTTCTGCACTTTGATTATCCTATAGAGACTTACTACACGACAATGGCTGCTACATTTCAATCATCTACCATTTTGATCCCAATGGCAGTAGAATTATATTGGTTGGGTTTTGATATAAGATTTGGTGAACAAAGCTTCTACTGAAGATATGGTGAAAAAAAAATTCTAGATGTTTGTTTGTACTTTGATATTCACACACTGAAGTATTCTCCTAATTCTGTCTGTACACTAAATCTGTTTCTTTAAACTTCTTTGATTATCCGTTTTCGTATCTAATGGTCATGCCATACCTCATGTCTAAAACACTATCTGTAATGGTGGCACTCTTTTGGGTGTTGAAGTTTATATATCCAACGAAAGATGTTGCTTGCACTAGTCTTAAATGTTCAACTTCGACATGTGTTTAGGGAAGCTAACATGTCTACTGATTTCCGGGAGAATATGGGTCACAACCCCCCTTCTTTTGTCTGTCATCATCTGAAATGCTGGCCTTTTGGCCTGGGGATGTTCTTGTATGCTGATATGAATAGGACAGCGTTTCCCAAATTTTTGTGGAATTCTATTTTATTTATGAATGTTTTTCTCTCTTTTCACCAAAAAAAAAGGATGTTGCTTGCAATGCTTTTTGATGTAGGAAGGATTTCAAGACTCATAGTACTTCTTGCTAGGAGACTAAAAAACATTAGAGAACTCAGAAATGTGATTAGAGAAGGCGCAGGCTTTTCCTATGGGGTTATATTTGTTGTCCTCTAAATTATATATTGTTATAACCATGTAAATTAATTTACCAAAAAGTAATGACTCTGTTTGCCATGATATTACATAGTTTTTGTATGGAAGGGGAAACAAACACATAGAAAAATCAGAAGTAATTTTATAAAGACCTATTTGGTCTAACAAAGAATTTGGTAAAATGGTTGATTTTAGAATGGGGCGAAGCAATCTAACAAATATGAAATATTGACTCCCAAAATATGACAAAAGTCGACTTAATCAATAATTCTTACCCAACTTGTTCATTTAAAATGAGTGGGACTTAAGAATTCTTGGCCTTTAAACTTATTTTACTTTATTCATTTGATGGCGTGACTTGTGTAGGTGAATAGATAACTCAAAATATAACGAAACAAGTTGGTTCTCATCTCACTTCACAGAGGTAACAATGATTCAATTATCTTGTTTTAAGTGTAAAGAGGATGCTTATACATATTTGAGTTCTTAGAAAAACTTCATAAAATTAAAGTTAATTATCTTAATAATAACTATTCCAATATTTCTTCGCTAAAGATCTTATGTATTTCAACCAAATGTAAGCTTAGAACAATTGAACTATACTTGAGGCCATTTTGGCTAGCCATTACCTCGGACTTTTAGCTTGATCAACCTCCTTATCTTCATTATTTGGATAATGGTTCTTCTCAAACGTCTTTAATCCACTTTTGATTACTTCTTGTCTCCTGCTTGTCACTACTCCCAACCATATCTTTCTTTTTCATCACTGTCAAATCTTTTACCTCACTTTCTTCCCTTTTAGCACCAATATCTACTCATTGGGAACTTTGTTCTGCTTCATGCACCATCACTTTCTCCAGAATTAGGTTCCACATCACACAGCTCACTATCACTTCCCCATACACATGGCAATCTCAAAAACACATTCCAACTCAACCTAGATGGCAGTATCATTAGACTCAAGAAAAGAATCACAGGTCAATATAAAATTTGATATAATTTATATAAAATCTATCAATGGATCTACATTTAACATAATAAAGGGAACATAAACCAATCAAAGCTTAAATCAAATGTCCACCACAACACCAATGTTAAAACAAACCAAACATTTCAAACACCCATCATAAATGATAATAATTACACAGAAAATTATCAAACTTTGGAAAGAAAAATAAAAAATAAAAAATAAAAAATAAAAAAACAGAAAAAGGCAATGAACACTAATTTGAAACAAATAGCAGAAAAAAATTCAAACTTTTATCAATCATACAACCCACAAAATTGAATTCCACATACTAAATCAACATAGAAAGGATGACGATGAAGATGAAGAGTGCCATCTTCAAGCTAAGAGAGATGGAGTAAGC